TATATATATATATATTGCACAGAGGCCTACTCATTTTTCAGTTGTCGCGGTATATTTTCTTGATATTTAATTTGTAATGAGCGTTTTTTGGCTGAAATCCTGTTCGGTTAGACTAACAAAATAAATGAACAGTCCTTTGAGTTTTTAGCATGGGGGTTAACTGAATCAGGGCGTTGGGTATGAACGGGTGCCTCCGGTGACCTGGAAATCGAGGGCCGCGCCGAGCTGCGGGGACAGTGTGCTCTTTCTTTCACTCTAGGTGAACTTTGTGGTTGTACGGCAGAGAAGCATCATTTTGAACGCTGGTTTTGCCATCTCTGATGATGATGTACTCGAGTTCGATCCACATTCATTCACTCACTTCACTCATGTGAGCCTGGATTCCCCATTCTCTGGATCAATTCGAATCAAAGCCATTCGAGTATCCCGGTCATCTCAACGTCTGGTCTACTGAAGAATTCGCCAATAGTACTGACGGATATGGATGATGGAGTCCTTAAGACGAAGGTTTGGTGAGTTATTGTAGAACCCTGGCGCAGTTGCGTGATAAATAACCATGCCGGAGGTAGACCATTTGTCCAGTAAAATCGAGGACACAGGTTCGAGCCCCACCCACACAACCAGCAAGAAATTGCATGTCCTAAAATCCAAGTAATATGACAAGGTATATGAGTTAAGTGGAAGATAATGAGTTGAATAGGTAGTCAGGATATTTTGTTGTCCTTGCCAGGTCGCATATGATTAGTTGTTTACTCATTTAGGCGTCTTGGAAGCTGCAATCCTGCATGTGTAGAGGATCCGAAAAGATGTGAGTTGGCCTGATCATATGGACCAAGGTGGCAGCAAGGTGACGGAGGTCCGGACAGTGCTGCTTTGTTCGTGAAAGTGGCATTAACACTGCGGCCGATCGAGCTGGAGTTTTTAAGAAAGTTCCGTGTGTGAAGCTTCCCTATATCTTTGTAATATACTACTCATAAGGTTGCTGAAAAACCACCGACAGCCCACGACCGGTTTCGACCTTTTTTTTTGGGGGGGGGAGGCTCATCATGCATCGCGATATGTCGAGTATCGTGGTGACTCAAGCATGAGGCGGCCTAATGCAGCACATTCAGTTGCCTGGATACATCCCAAACGAGAGATTCAGCTGGGTTCCAGGTGAGTCTCTCAAAAACAAAAAAACAAATTAGCTTGCAAATGAGTGTTTATTCACTTTCCTATTTCTATTTAATTTGGTAGTGAACGGACCAATGAGACAAACGCTGAAAGGTCTTTAAAACCTTCAAATGGCTACAGACCAAAACCCTTTCGACCTGGAATATACAGACGACACAGTTCTAGTTTTCGGAGTGGAGAAGAAGGCACAGGTATTTTTGCATGAACTGACCCGAGTCATTCCACCCTCGGGGATGCGCTGTTCGCCCATAAAATGTAAGGTTGTGCTTCTGCGCATTCACTCACTGAACAGGCCACTTACAATCCAAATAGAGGCACCCGAAGTCGCGAAGCTTTTCACGGATCTTGAAAGTTGTGCCAGTTCCGACTGTAGTGTGTTGTACATGAGGTCAATGCACGAATCTGCAAGGTTCGGGTTGCGTTTGCTAATTTGAGATACATGCGGGGTCAAAGCGGTACATCCATGAATCTCAAGGGACGTGGTGGTTTTGTTGTATGGCTGTGACAGTTGGCCTGTCTGCAAGCAGTGGGAGTCTTCAAGTCATCGTCAACCGTTGTCACCGTGTAGACTGGTGTCGCCGAATCCGCAACGAGGTAATTTGAAAGCGGGTTTTCGGTTGTGCAACGGGCACTTCTATTAAATAATGTGTCCAGCACCAGAAACTGCGTTGGTTGGGGCATGTGTTGAGCATTGCGAACCATAGTTGCCGAAGAGAGTACTGTTTTCGGTGCCAAATCCCGACTGGTGGAGGCAGACAGGTGGCCAAACCTTGACCTGGCTGAGGGGTGTGAAAGTGATTACGAAACGTTTGAGTGCAGTCGATGCTACTCGCCCACCCAGATGGGGACCGCGTGATCCCCGTAGCGCCTAGTTGGAGACGCTGCAAGATATGACTGTCAATGGCGTTCTTGTTGTCAGTTTCTATCCAGATCGCCTGAATGAGTGTCTGGAGGTGTAAGCACCTCGGAATGATTGTGGTAGGCTAGCACCAAGTCCCTTCCCCATCCACTTTCATTCTTCTCTCGACAACAAGTCTTTCAAACAGTTTTGGTTGTACGGCAGCGAAGCATCAATGCTGGTATTATGATGATCAATATTACGTGTATAAAATTTGCACGGTGCAAACCGGTCGTATCAGGATAAATTTTCCAAAAAAGGATGAAAGAATTAGACGAAAGACGAGGAGTAATTTCGTAGAATCTCGTTCCAACAGATGCGCTGGTTTGAGCAGAACTATCAATCTACTGTTGATTTCATCCACATCTGTTCATGGCTTTGTGAGACGGACACGATCGCTTGTTCTCAGTGTACCGCCTGACCAACTGGTGTTGACTAGTTTCCACTTTGGTAAGGAATAATTCAATCAGAAACGACCCAACAGCACCCGAACGAGACGAACAAGCTGACCGACGTTGTTCACAGAAGGAGCAGCGTTGGTAGCCAACACTTACTGTCAATCGATAATTGTTTAATAACAGAACAGGACAGACTTGGACCCTTATTATTTACTTGCATAAACTTAGCTTAGAAATTGCAAATCCAAGTCCCGCCCCAATAAGCGGTCGGTCTGTCACGACATAGTGTAACAGTGGCTATTTGGAGTGCACAGATACAAAAACTCAAAAATCTCTTGGATAAACGAACGAAGCATGCCGGTCGATCACAATTACCCATGAAGGTAAATCATTTCTGCTTTCGTTCACCACCCTGTTCTGTCAAGTTTTACATCATCATCCACTTGGGGAACAACGATATGGAGTAACAATGTATCCAGGTTCGAAAAACACACTCATTTGCACACCGATTTAGTTTTTGCGTAAATCTCAGTTGAATCTCTCGTTTGTGATGTTCTTCTTCGAATGAATGTGCGACACCAGCTCTCCTCATGTTTCAGTTGGTACGGAAATATCCAGACGTAACATAGTACTCACAAGGTTGTTAAAACCAGTGGTAAGCTGTTGAAGAGTTTTCAGCAACCTTATGAGTAGTGTGGTTTGTGCGTAAAATGGATCCAGAGGGTTAGTCGTGCGTCAAAACTCTTTGGGCAGCGGTGTGAGACTAGTAGTCTTGGCACAAAAAACACTTGTGGGAGTCTATGATTCCAGATTTCCTTTTGAGTTGTAAAACACGCGTAATGGAACTACTGTTAACGCACGCCATGGCTACTAGCTGGTTTAAGCAGAAAATCGAACGCCTACGTAGAAGACCGATTATTCGGGCTTTCCAAGTCAGTAATGTGAACAGCTTACATGCATTTTTGGGCCTTATGGAGCGTTTCGGCTATGCCTTTCCGAACAGAAGGTAACAGCCGTTTTTATCTGAGTTTTGAATTGTAAGTTTGTCCGGATAGAATCAGAGAGTCCTCGGCATGAGTTGGTCAGATTGGAAAATTATTCACATTTCTGGTTGGTCATTACAGGGAGAACAGAAATAGAAGTGCAACCTCTCTACAAAAGGCCTCCTCCACCACACTTTTGGATTATCATGGGCGTGTCTTACACACTGGAAACGGGACAAGGGCAATTAGCATACTTTCCCGGGGTCGGAGAGTCCATTCCAAAGGGACACTCCCTCCCCACTTGTTCATCTTGACTCATGGAATTGCCGGTGAAGAAGTGCAAGCAACTTATGAAGATGGACCACAGAGTTACCAGTACACAAGATCCAAATCGCTGCACTTTGCGCCAGATCTTTCTTGTCAGTTAATTGTATCGGAACTTGTGTCTGTCAACGGCCATCAACAGGTCCTAACTGCGATGGATGGAGGTACAAGAAGTACCCACGTATGTATGTTTGTAACATACTACTCATAAGGTTGCTGAAAATCCATTGACAGCCCACGACCGATTTCACCCTTCTTGGGGCTCATCAGGTAGGCGCAGTCCCCGAGTTTCCGCCAACCTTATGTTCTACTTGAAACCCACGTAACTTTTGAAGTCGATAGGAAACCATTCTTTAGGATGGAGAACAACACCTGTACGACCGTGATCTTAGGAGAAATCGCCACTAAACTCAAGCAGGCTGGTCAATACCTGTGAACGTACTCGCTAGAAGTGAAGCCCGGAAAGAGATGTCTGTCTTTGGATGGGACTGTTGCGAAGAAAGCGAATATTCCCCCATCACGAACACCGCAAACTAATGTGAGCTTTCAGCGGCACCCGTATTCACATTGTGATGACCAGTGTAGAGGAAATCGTTCATCTTTGTAACATCTAACCTAGTTAGAATTCATAGACAGTAGTGGAAAATTAACTCAGTATACTTATGAGTAGTCCCTGTGCAACCTCGCTAGACCGAGCACTTTCGGATATACTGCCCCTGGGGAAATTTCCTTATATGGATTTTGCAGTTATCACTGGTTGGAACAATCAGAGCCAACAGTTAGGCACTGAGGCGAGGGAACTGTCCACTGACACCAGGTTATTGGAAAGAACACCATTCGTCTGCTGATTCGCCAATCTGTGGTATCTGCTGCTTACTCGCCCCAGTGCCTAGTGCCTAAAAAAAGACTCACAGAAGGGAACACAACGGCTGTATTCCGAACAAGCGAGCGAGTGAGAGTGCGAGTGCGAGAGCAAAGGTTACAACGGTCCCACGCCATTTAAAGGGAACGTTCTGACACTGATCCAAGCTGTCTGACAGGTGTTAGTGAACACTCATCAACATCGACCGTGCCTCTGTGAAAAGCCTGAACGCTGATCACATTCGGTCATGCACCACTCATCGGCTTTTGCTGAAGTGATTGAATGATTGACTGGCCTCGATGCTTGCCGGCTTTCCAGTTGAGCTTTTGGTGGAGTTGTAGGGTCTCAGTAAGTTCCGGGCGTTTTGAGGTTACTTTCAGGAATCTGACCTTCCTGATAACTAGAGAAACCAATCTAGTTTTACCAGATCTTCTGTCGGAAGATGGAAACGCTCCCTGGAGAACATATTCAACGCGATTAGGAGCTCTCAGCTCTTCAGACCTACTAAGGATTTATAACGCAGTCTAGTGTCAAAAGCCTCTAAAGAGTGAAAACCTTAAAAGCTCACCAAACGAATCTGTCCCCGTACCGGGACAGCAGTTTCCACGGTTTCTGCTTATGATATTTGAATAATACACTAATGTGGTGAAATCGGATAGACTGATGAATCTTGCAACCAAGTTATTTTGAGCATAGACGGATGCACTGATCTATTGCTTCCGCGACTGAGAAAAATGAACTTTCACCAAATTATTGATTGGTTTGTTGGTTACATTTTGGGCGAAAAAGCATTTGACTGAGTAGCTGTGCGTCACGCACGTGGCGAATACACACAGAATTTAGAATGTGGTATTTTGTGAAATCAAAGCTTTTGGGATACACCTGTGGAACGGTGGATACTACTGATGGGGGTCACGTGAGTAGCATGCTTTCTCACAAATCCACTTCTCGTCTCTTGATAGGTGAGATCTATCATAAAATGTGTGGAGCCGCTTTGTAGCACTTGCTTGTACTTGAGTAACAGTCGATAAATATCCAGGAAAGTTCAGGAAGACGCGTTCAAGGTGAAGATGGGCATTCGGTTTTTGTAAACATGATGCATATGAGAGTTTTGCTCCCCTGTCCAATAGTCTGTGACTGTTTGGTTGGTGTTTCCCTAATAAACAGCTCCGCAGCGGAAGCCTTCTTCATTTCACCAGTAGTCAGATGAACAGTAACTTGTCAATCCACTCAGAGGGTTTATTTCTCAAGTTTTACTTAAGATCACTGTCGTTTGAACACCCGTCTCCCCGTCCTGGTGCAGTCATCCGGATGGGCTCACACCAAAGGAGGAATCGCTGGTCCTGACTTTTATCCTTGTGAGAACTCACTAGCAATGTATATCCCTGACTAAAACAGTCACTGAGCCGTCGTCTGGGACGCCGGGTAAACCAACTACATCGTTCGATCGTGAACACTTTCACCTATTTAGATGTACGCTGGTGAAGTAGTGGTAATACGGTCGCATCGCATGTCAGATGTCCGGAGTTCTAACCCCTGCACGGCCATGGATATGCACTAACTGGCGAGCTCCATGAGGGGCGAAACTTGGGTCCAATACTTTAGTCCCTTGGTGTGGACTTGTTGGAAGGATTGCACGAGGGTACGCATTGCACAGCGATGAGATAGGATGTCGTTGCAATGCCCTTACCCCACATATACATTCAAAGTTGTTAACTGATAAGGTAATGCAATGTTAACTTGTCTGTGTGCGTATCTTTTCGCCAGGCAAAAGCTTCAGCATCTACTTTCAACGTGGCTTATTTGATGTGACAGGTTTGACGTAGGGCCTTCGAATCAGTCGAACCAGAGAACCGCAGAAGGCCCTGTTCAGTAGTATCATATAGACTGAGAATGAAAGCAGTTAGTGGTTTACGTCTA